CCAAACTGTTATTTTTGCTAACCTATTAGGCCAACTCCAACTTCCTACACTTGACGGCAAAGCAAAAAAAAAAAAGCCCTTTATCCTGAGTCTGTTTAGTGTTTTTCATCATCATGTGTGTTTGCTTACCCCAACTCATTCTTCTAGAGTCATATTTCCAACTGCTCATTTCTCTGATTTGACAAGGTCACTGTGAACTTCCTGATTGTCATCCAAAGTGTTGGCAGTCCCATCTAGCTTAGTGACAGACTGCTTGGTCACTCAGGTCCTCTGTAAAGAGGGCACTATGCCCTTACATCGAGGAGATTCCATCTATAAACAAGTGAAAAAGAAGTAAGATATTTAGATAATAAATGTTAAGAAGAAAATAATAGAGTAATGCGATCACATGAGACCGGAGTAGGGGGGCAGTGGTGCAATTAGCTTAGATAATGATGGGGGACATCGCCAAGAAGGTATCATTAGCTTTGAAACCCAAATGATGAGAAGCCATACAAGGATCCAGGCGAATAACTAACCAGGTAGAGAGACAGTAAGTGCAAAGGTCGGGAAGTAAAAAAAAAAATTGGTTTGTTCAAGGAACAAAAAGAATACCACTAGGACTGGACAGAGTGGCAATAGTACAAGACGAGGTCTCAGAGTTAGCCAGTGACTTGATGTAGAGTCATAATTAACCTCCATTTATGCCTGTGAGCACTGGAATTGTTATTCTTCCTTAAGTGTGTCTCAGTTGTAAATCTACTATTTCTAATAGAGAATAACTTGAATTTGCTCTGCACTGCATAATTTATAAAAACGTTTAACATACATTCTCATTTTACTTAAAGTTCCATAACATCCCATGAAATAGGCAGGGCTAACATTATTTCCATCTTACAGATAAGGAAACCATGGTATATAAATGTTACATAACTTACTGAAAGAGGCCCACAAAGCCCCCCCAACACACACATTCTGACTCCCCATGCTTCCTCAAAATTGTCAAAAAGTCAAAACTGTCTTTTAGCCTAGATGTGAAATTAACTTGAGGCTTGGGTATAACTAAGGGCTCATCATTGCTGAAAAAGAAAAACAGAGTTGCTACAAGGAATAAAAGAAAAGGCAACCTCGGTTTGCTTTAATAGCAAATGAGTATAGAGCAAGACTCTACACACTCTCTGTTTGGCCACATCATTGCTTCTACCAGATGGCTAGTTTATGCATCATATGATATTCCTTGTCAGACTTAAGGTTTCAATAATTCACTCTGGAACATGAATTTGAAGAAAACAGAACAGATCAGTCCAGGGAGAGATGCTGACAACCTGAACTGGGGCAATGATCATTTAGGTCTCCTAGCCTCAGCCACGTTAGTCACCAAGGTATTTCTGCACTATATGGTCAATAATGTTTTCCTATCTTGTTGAAATGATGTCACATTTGACCCTTAAATTTTTTTTTTAAAAAATGAGCTATATTATTCTTATATTTTTCATATGCTTTAACACAAAAGGATATTAGATTATTTGTTTTAGGAATTATAGTTATATTTAATGCATACCATTTCCTCTTCTAATGCTTGAAATTTGCTCTTTTAATTTCTTGTTTTCAAATACTAATCTATCTATAATTTTCAGGATTTAAAAAATTCTTTTCTATCATGAAGTACTATGTTGCTCTGTTCAAGGTTTTATTTGTTGTGCATGCCTTTGTGTGTGTGTTTCGTAGCATATATTCTTAGAAGGAAAAAAAGGAAACAATTTAAAAAATGAAAAAACAGTCTAGAAATATCTCAGGGTTGAAGCTATCAAGCTCACTTATTAGAGGCAAGTCAGGGTTATACAGTTAACCACATATTCTTCCTTTTATAAAAAAATTAAGTTATTATGTAGAGGTATATTTACTGTCTCGTACTATTAACTAAGAAAACTCTTTTTACCTTTTGTAGCTTTTGATGATTAAATTAAGGTATTTTTAGAAATCATTTTTTTTAAAGCTAGTTTTTCTTGTTTAGTATATTTATATTTTCGGTTGTATTTCTACAAATGTCGTTCTGTGTATGACATGGCCTTGGTTGAAGTTTGGGGGCTTTTCTCTTTTAATTCAATCCTCTTTCATGTTTTTAAATTAATTTACTTATTTTTGCTTTGGTCTTGTGGCCTCTTCCTCCCTTCTCTGTCTGGATGATTAAATCTTGATTGTCAATTTTTTTACTTTAAAAGTATCTCTTTTTTTTAGTTTTTTAAAACTCTTATGCAATTATTAAGTTTGACATAAGTGTTTAAGAATGTCTTTTTTGGGGGCCGGCCCAGTGACATAGTGGTTAAGTTTGCACGCTCTGCTTCGGTGGCCCAGGGTTCACAGGCTTGGATCTCGGGTGTGGACCTGCACACCACTCATCAAGCCATGCTGTGGCGGCATCCCACATACAGAATAGAGGAGGATGGGCACAGATGTTAACTCAGGGCCCATCTTCCTCACCAAAAAAAAAAGTCTTTTTTTCCTCACTTTTTCTTTCAAGTCTCAAAGCTGATTTCCTGATTTAACATTGTAGATGCAATTCATAGCTGAAAGCATTAAGCATTCGGGGAAGTTCTAAAGCTTTGCCATGAGAGGATATAGGAAGACGTGAAGGTTGGAGGCACAGAGGATCTGCCAGCCATCCCTTCTGAAGGTGTGTAGTGCTGCAGTTAATCCTTGTAATGATCAAAAAACCACCATCACCACCAATTCTTAAAATTGAGGAAAAGATCTCATGGTTATTATTCAGTAATGTTGTGATCCTTTTTCTCAGTTTCAAACACATTAAATAAATTTAATACTTCATAATTTCAAAAATTCTTCAGGACATTTACAGTTTCTAATTTTCATCATATAAATATTTCAAACCAATTTTTAAATATATGTGATAATTAACATATTTTATTTATTTATTTATTTTGTGAGGAGAACTAGCCCTGTGCTAACATCCGATGCCAATCCTCCCTCTTTTTTCTTGGGGAAGAGTGGCCCTGAGCTAAATCCATGCCCATCTTCCTCCACTTGATATGGGAGGCCGCCACAGCATGGCTTGACAAGCGGTGCGTCAGTGCGCGCCCGGGATCCGAACCTGCGAACCCTGGGCTGCCAAAGCGGAGCGCACACACTTAACCGCTTGCGTCACCAGGCTGGCCCCGATAATTAGCATATTTTAGATGCAACATGATTTTTAATGCGCTCCATAACTTTTTTAAAGGGCTAGCACAAATTTTTTCTTTTATCATTTTAAAATTGCAAACCCTAAAAAATATAAAATATTCAGACCCCTTTTCTCCTCTGTGTCTTGACTGTTTTCTCCAGATAGTTACCTCTCATTGCAGCAACAACATATATCTCAAAGTACATGTGCTTAGTATGCAAACAACTGAAATCAAGGCAGCTCTGATAAAGCATGTCTTATTAAGCAAAATTGGATCTAAGCACATACAGAAAGGGAGGGATTCAGAATAGATAAGGTGGTATTTCAAAAGAAAACTTGGTTTTTCATACATTTCTCAAGGTAAATATTCAGATGCTGGTACATAAGCAAGAGAGTAGTCCTTTTGAATTATCTAGCTTCTGGGATTGTTGAGAGAAGTGTGGCCTTCAATACGTTTTAAAATTCCTTGCAATCCGTGCTCTTTTAAAGTATGCATTTTACTATTGAGCATCTCCAGCAAAAATAGTGGAAAGGAACTACTGTTTTATAGTGGAAACATTAAATGCTGAAATAAGGAAAACTGGCTTTTTGGAATAGAAAAAGATGAAACACTAGGTGTGTGGTGGTAAATCAAAAGTAAAATGAGATATTCTATATTTGTGTTTTATGTCAACTGTACTATTATGTATGATTTATTACTCTTGAATTGATGTGGTAAATTCATGATGATGACATCATCAATATCTGAAGATGACAAAAATGATAAAGGTATCAAATTACCCAAATGCTTATAGGGCATCTGCTTTCTACTTCTCCCCTGCAGCCAAGAAACAATCATACTGATACTTAGTTCTTTGAATTCCAGTAGGGAGCTTAGTTGCTACCTTTTCAGAGATGATTAAAACCTCATGCCACTTAGTAACAAAGAAAACCAATCTGAAAAGATGCCAATGCTGGTGCAATTCATAGCTGAAAGCATTAAGCATTCGGGGAAGTTCTAAAGCTTTGCCATGAGAGGATATAGGAAGACGTGAAGGTTGGAGGCACAGAGGATCTGCCAGCCATCCCTTCTGAAGGTGTGTAGTGCTGCAGTTAGGATTGCCCGTACCTACTGTTGCTCAGAGTGATTTACTACAGGGAATTTCTAACTGGACTCCTACCCTTTCCTCTTTCTCTCTGTCCTTCCAACCCATTATCCACAGTCATCTTAATGATCTTTCTGAAACACAGAACTCATTAGTTCTCTCTTTTAAAAATCCTCAAAGTTTTCCCACTGCCTGCTACATGTGGTCCGAAACTCCTTATCATGGTACACACAGTCTTTCATGGTTTGGGACCTGTCTTCCTCGTATCTCCCGTGCTCTATATCCTCTTCACATAGAAGTGATGCTAGGAACGCTGGTCCATTGGATTGTTGCAAGAGTTCAGTGAGGAAATGTATAGAGTACTTAATAATAACTAGTATTTATGCAACCTTTACCATCTTAGCAGGTGCCAAAGACTGGGCTGGGGGTCTATTTGTATTCTCTCCTTTAATCTTCATACAACCCCATGAGGTGTAGATACTTTTATAATCTCCATTCTCTAAAAGAAGAAACAGACTTGGAGAGGTCAGGCAGCTTGCCCAAGGTCACACCTATAGACAGAAATGGAGTTGTAATTTTATCTGTCCAACTCCAAAACTGATGCTTTTATAGACTTTACTGCTTCCTGGCACATTGCCTGGTGTGCAATTCAGTTTGATTAAATATTCATTTTAAAAAACCCATTACTATAAAACTTACAGTATCTGGAAAATGACCTTTTTTTCTTGTCCATTGCCCACCAAGGTTAACTGATATAGCACTTCTACTCGTTCTAGATGCCCAGTCTCCTCTATGCTGTCCTTTTTCATCTTCACACTCACCACACTGTAGTGGAATAATTTGTTTAAAAATCGAATGCCTCCGATCCCTTGGCAGTTCCTCGGTGCCGGCACCGCATCTTCATTGTCTTTGTATCCTCAGAGCTTTGCATAATGTGCAGCACTCGACAACTGTGGAACAAATAAAGGAGTGAAGCAAGCTCTGAAGAGAATTTTGAAATATGTGGGGCTTTCCTCTTTCTCCAAAATGAGGAATTCCTCCTTCCATTTAATGTGTAACTGCACTAACCCTCCAAATAACGCTCAACAAATTCACAATGAAAGAGCAAGTCAGACTTATATAGGTAGGAGGGGGTGAAGAAAAGACAAAGTCACGCTCTTTTTCTTCATTCCTCTTTCCCCTCCGTAAAACTGATTTTCCTACCAAATGAGAAAGAGACAAAGTTGAAGGAGAGAAGATAACATTTAGAAATAGTGAAATAAAATTTAAATTCTCTTAAAAAAAATACAAGTTATGCCTCATGATGTCGGCTAAGATTCAAGTGTTAGGTTTGTCCCCCTGATCCTTTTTACATTTTCCAAATAGTTATGCCTGCATTCACAGCATTTCTCAGAGGTTAGTGAATTAGGAAACACTACTAAATTCTAACATCTGAGAACTTAAGGGAGATCAACTGATGGGCACATGGTCACTGAGTGAGTCAGTGCAAGTCGCAGGACCAGAGCTTGAATCTTCTGACGACTAGTCCAGGGTTGTATTCATACAACTCCTACCATGTCTCCTGAAGAATTTGGCAGAAATAGAGGATGGTACAGTTGGCAAAGTAAACCATTGTCATTACCAGTGCTCATATTCTATTTTTCCATGTTTAATAGAATAATAATTTTAAACTCATAAATGCATATGTTCTATTGGTTAGTATGGAATATTATGTCAAGAATACCAACACAGAAATACTTCCAGAATTTATATTATCCCCTAATATATAGAGAGCCCACATATGTCAGCACAAAAACATTTCTTAAATTATAAAATAAATCCAGGGCCGGCCCCATGGCTTAGCGGTTAAGTGCGCGTGCTCTGCTGCTGGCGGCCCGGGTTTGGATCCCGTGCTCGCACCGATGCACCGCTTCTCCGGCCATGCTGAGGCCGTGTCCCACATACAGCAACTAGAAGGATGTGCAGCTATGACATACAACTATCTACTGGGGCTTTGGGGGAAAAAAAATAAATAAAAATTTAAAAAAAATAAAAAATAAAATAAATCCAATAAGTATTCATTGACTTATTATTCTGTATGAATAAGAGAGCCAACATTATTTTTAATAAACTGCTTTCTTTTTATTTTTTTAACTGCTTTCTTTCTTTTTTTGTGTGTGTGGCTTGATCCTCCATCCCCGAGTGAGATTCAACTACTGTTAAGGTGTAAAGCAGATTTGGTACCCTGGGGGGAAATAATAGTAATGTGAAATACAATAACAGTCAATGTGATCTAATTACAGTATGATATATCTACAAATTATAATCCCATGTCTTAAGAGAGTGAAACCCCTGCCTCTGTCAATGAATTTGTAGGTGAGCCTTAAAATCTCAACCATTTGACCTCTTTTGCCTCCTCTTTGTATAGGGAAATGGTGGCTTAGCTTTCTCTGCAGAGATAACAGTCAGCTTATACCTGGGTTTAGGTCTTTGCATTGCTACCTGCCAGGTGTGCAACAATAGACAAGTCATTGACTCTCCTTCACCTTTTGTTTCCTCATCTGCAACAAAGGGATAACGTTTACCCTCCTTCCCCACAAAGTTGTTGCAAAGATGAATGACGTGTGCAAACATAGGCTTAAATCATAGAATCTTGGAACAGAAAAGGACCTTCCCAATACAGAATCTACCTCACCATTTTTCAGCTAAGAAAACTGAGGTACAGGAATGGCAAATGCTGTGCCCAAGACCATGTAGCCAGTAAGTCATATGTCTGAGGCTGGAAACCAAGTCTTTTGGTGAGTATGCTTTATTTTTGTTTTACTAGATAGGCACAACAGAACAGCTACGCACGTGTAAGGAACACAAAGACTATGATAGAATGATCTGAAAGAGGAAGTAGGTTTTTTTAATCAAGATGACAGCAGATAAGAAAGGAGGAAGGTACAAGGAAGAATGTTTATTAGAGGGTTTATAGCATGCCAAACATACATTAAACAGTGAAAAACTTGTAATTACCCAGATTTGTATTACATAGGTAAAATATCTACTAAGGATATTTTTTAAATGTATAGAATTATCAAAACATATTCTTGCTTTCCCTGTTTCTAGCACTCTTCTAATTCTAGGACTTAGCAGCTCCTAACAATGAGCACCAGGTCCCTGCTTTGTGCTGTGTTGCCGCCTGTGCTGGCTGGGGGTGGGGGGTGCAGTGAGGAATTTGAGGGCCTGAGGTGGGGGGAGAGAGGTGGGAGAGGAGTAGCTGCTTCCATTAGATGGGGAGTACCACTGAAATTCCTCACTCACAAATGACTCTTCAGTGCTTTCCAACCTTAGAGGTTCAACTGGATTTACAAAATGCAAATGCCTTCTTAAAATGATATTTATGCCCCCGTAAATGACTTCAATGACAATAATTCTACATCTCTCCTTCAGCACATCAGCTCTGATTGGTAGAAGGGAGGTAGAAGAAAGTGTAACTGAGAGCTTAAAGCACTTAGGAAAGCAGGCCTAGATAGGAGTTGAATAGTAGCTGCTAAAGGGTATTGAGTGCCAGTAGGCAAAAGAAGCTCATTAAAAAAAAAAAAGATTGGTGAGAAATACCAAAAACAGCCTTTGGCTAATTTGCTATTTTTGGTTAGGCCACAAGGTAACCAATTAAAATCCAAGATGTGATAGTACCCCGTTTCCATGTGTGCTAGGAATAGGAACAAGTCAAATTTATAGTCTAGAATTAGCAGTCACCATAATCTAGAGCAGACAATGGAAAGATGACAGAGCTATAAACTGAGAATCTACATTCAAGTTCCTACTCTAATGGTGAGGAATTGCATTTGGCTGTGAGTAAAGACTCCTGATTACAGTCACTTAAACACATATTTTTCTCTTATAGAAAGAAGTCCAGAAATTGACAATCAATGGGATAGGTTCAGGATGTCAAGGCTGAGTCTCTTTAAAATTTTCTTAGCCTTTTCCTCATGGTTCTAAGAGGGCTACTCCAGCTCCTGCCATCACCTCCATCTTCCCGACTGGAGAAAGGTGGAAGCAGGAAGGAGTGGCACCTGTATCAGTGCAGCAAACACTTTCCCAGAAATCTCTAGCTGAGTTCAGCTCATGTCTCAGTGTCCAGAACTGTGTCACAGGCTACCTAGGAAAAGAATGTGAAAAATTAGCTTTTCTGCTAAATATATTGTCATTCCAAATAGAATCAGGAAGGAAGAAGGGAAGAATTGATATTATGTAGTTAGCAGTCTCTTCCTACAATCACTAAGTAACTGTATAACCTCAGAAAAGTTACTTATTTGCTCTGCCTGTATCTCATTTCTTATCTATAAAATGATTAGCATGAATATCTGCTCTATCTTAACTCCTTGGTTCCCCCCACCCCAGCATTGATTAGGGAAAAATAGCGGTTTTAGCAAATTGAAAAGCTAAAAGTAGTATATAAATAGAAGGTAGCTTTATTAAGAAGGTAACAGAAAGGAAGGGGTTGTATGTATTAGAAAGGGACTCTAATGCATACCTTTCCACTTCTCTGATCATCAGTAAGAGTAAAATAAGCATAAATTATCTAAAAGTCTATGTTGGGCACTTTAAAAATATAGGAATAGGGCCGGCCTCCGTGGCTTAGCAGTTAAGTGCGCGTGCTCCGCTGCTGGTGGCCCAGGTTCGGATCCTGGGCGCGCACCAACGCACCGCTTCTCCGGCCATGCTGGGGCCACGTCCCACATACAGCAACTAGAAGGATGTGCAACTATGACATACAGCTATCTACTGGGGCTTTGGGGAAAAAAAGGAGGAGGATTGGCAATAGATGTTAGCTCAGAGCCGGTCTTCCTCAGCAAAAAGAGGAGGATTAGCACGGATGTTAGTTCAGGGCTGATCTTCCTCACTAAATAAATAAATAAATAAATAAATAAATAAATAAATAAATAAATAAATAAATAAAAATATAGGAATAGGTAGTAAAAACTTAACCTTACAATATACCAACAGCAGATTATTCTTATAGTCCATGAACCACTGTATGAACTCGTGCCATTTGACCAGTCATAGTGCAACCCAAGTGTGGTCTCAGAGCATCTTGAAAGTTGGGTCACATATGTCTGTTATGGAACAAGACAGTGAAAATACTTCTATCTGGAAATCTCTAGTGTGGATAGCTAGTTAGGAAAAGAATTTTTTTTTTTCAAACCAAGGGGTAGGGATGGGGGGCTGAATTTTGAAAGTAAACCAAATGGTGTAGCACTGATCATTTTTTGTGTTTAAGATTACAAGGACTTCAGACTTTTCTGGCGAAAAAGCATTTATCCTTTGTCAGGCTGACAATGTTCTACATTGAAATGTATTCTCCAATAGAATAATGTGTTAAAATTTTTGTGTCAAGACTATTACTATGTAATCAAAATTAGAATTAAAGTTAAAAGTCAGAGATCAGCTAGCTAATATCTTGAAGCCATCCATACAATAACCTTCTCTGACAGATCCAGATTCAGAAATAGCCAACAGTCTATGAATTAAAGATATCAGGAACAGCAGAACTCCATAGCAACACTACTAAATAATTGAAATGACCTGTCTCTTAAGAGCTAGGATAGACATAAGATTATAGGGTAGTTATTTCATGCAAAGATTTGAGATCACTACCCAGAGGTTTTCTCTATTTTTACCTACTGGACTGTTTTCTTTCATTCAGTAGCTAGCGTATGACCATGGGGCACAGTGGATAGGAGTGGAGAGCACTAGGCCTCTTGCCTGTTCATGGATCACAGCTGCACCAATATTCAGTAA